TTAGCCTGCAAGTATATAGCTACTGAATGAAGTAGATTTAATCAACATAGTTAAAACAAAATTATATATTTAATATTATTCCTGTCAAACTTTTTCAAGATTTGAAAATGCTTTTAGTTATATGACCAAGTAATTTCCTAACCCTGGAATCCGTTACTATACTACCAAATAATTGCAGCTGCTGGAATCCGATACTACAATCGTTGAAGGTCGAAGGTGCATTATTTTAGAATATCTCAAATATTTCTTGTTTTACGAAAAGCCTACACCGAAGAAAGCCATTAAAATGCTTGATGCATTTCCACAAAAACGACAACAAACACCGAATAAACCACTTAACCTAATTCATTAAATCTCTGGGAAGTAACGTCATTGCATTTCTTCAGATCGCTATTGGAACCAGTGTCCTTCTGCCAGAAATAAAGTGGAAGATCACATTCACTGACTTAAATGTTCAGCCCGTCGGCCTGTTGTGCATACTTTTGGTCCTTAACTTGAAGTTCCCAGCACCTATCAGTGCTAAATGAAGTAGCGGAAGATTCTTTATCCATTCTTCGCGAGAAAAGTTCATGGACGTTCGATATTGTCAACGTCAGAAACACAATCAAATGGACTAAATCTATCAGCTTAATTAGCTTTTACTCCGAGCAGTTACCCCTTAAAAGCAAATAAAGATGTCGTGATCAGCGAATACGGTATAGTGTAAACGCAGCCTAAATATTATATGACATTCCAATATTGTATTTGCTGTTTGTGGTGAAATGCATAATATACTGTTGACACAATTATTTCACCAACTGATTGATTCATTATTTGTATTTTGTAGAAACTATAAATATCTGCTTTAGTTAGCTTTAGGTCTGGTTTTTTTGTCAACAACCATGTAGGATTTTGTCATCACTTCCTTAACAGTATTGTAACGTATAAAAGTGCTTGTAGTTTTTTTTAATAATTCCTACTAAATTAATATTGTATTGCTTCTTCGATCTTGTGAATGTAAGCTCGGAGTATTAAGTAGCTAGCAATTAACATGTAAACTATTTGTGTTCGTGTATTTTTGTTTCTGTTCGTGTACTTCTGTTTGTGCTCATTTATTGTGCTTATGGTCATCCTTATCGCGTAGCTTGATTGCAATTTTTCTTAACCGCACGACTAACATCTGTATCAAACACATGTAGAAGCGATATCTATAGTGTAAAGCTTCAAAATATAAGAGAAAAAGTCTAAGATTTTGGAATATTATCTTACGTGAATGTGTTGCTATAGGAAGCTAATGAAATTTGCATAATTTTACTTGATTAACTTGTGAACATGTCCTATTTCTTATTGCGAGATCATCTTTATATCTATCATAAATGAAATTTCGCTCTATAAATTGTCTAAGAATTTTCGATGAATTAATACGTCATTGTCAATGAATAAGAACGTTTCACTATAGTGAGTCTCAAGTTGTGATTCTGTTTTCATGCAGAGAACTACCTATGATATATAGTGAAGGTCCTTTATCACTGGTGATGCATAACGTGTTTAAACACAAGACAGTAAGACTGTAAATGATTTGACAAAAACGTGGAATCAAGCGATAAAAAAACCATATAATTTGATCATGAAAACGCAGGAAATAAAGTTTTCGACCCCTCATTTTCAATTTTTCAATTTTTCCCGGGGGATCGAGTCCGGCGTGAGATTGTGTCTCAAGCCTTCATCTGCCCCAACGAAGCCCATAAAACAATGGAAGTCTATAGTTTTTTCGTGTCTTGCTGGGTGAATATTTTATTGACAAAAAGAGCAGGCAATACTTAAACTGTCATTTTTTCCAGGAGAAGTTGACATTATAATTTATTTTGTGATTTTATATGAAGTAAAAGAGCATCAAATATATGAACACATAATACTACCTTTTATCTATTTAATATTATATTCATAATATTTTGAAATATATCGTAATTAATTCATTTTGTTATATTCGGACACAAATACATGTCATACAAACACGACGAAGCTGTGTCATCATTAATATCTACACAATAAAAGCTCATGATTGTATTAATAATATTTTACAAAAAAGTGAGGTACACACTACTAAAATTTATGTCCCCAGGGGTAGAAATCTCAGTGGTGGCGAGGGACAACTGCTTCCCCATTTTTTGTCAAATCGCCGATTTTGTCGGAGATTTGAAAACAACTGAATGTACTGAAATACATAAAAATAATGCAAGAGCAGTGAAGAGTGAATAATTTCACTTGGCAATTCATGCATAAACCTTATTATTTTTAATCTATTTTCTTTGTATGTGCTGTTAGTTGCCAGAGAGCTATAACTGCCTCGATTCTAATATTCAGTGAATCGATCTTTGAAAACAGATAATAAAAATGATTTATAAATTTTGCTGATAATAAAAGAATTTTTGAGGTTTATCAAGGAATTCTCAAACCCCCCAAAAATTGTCGAAAAATTTCGACGCTTTGAGCCTCCCTTGCCGCCAAAAAATGAATTTCCAAATCCGTTGGGAAAAATCACACTTCACGTGGCGTCTTTTCATCCGCTAATCTACTATTTTCAATGTCAAAAATGTGGAAGAAAACAAAACCTTGTTCATCGCCACTCCAGTCTCCTGTACGGGCAATGCCATATTTGTTTCGTGGCGAAGACGTTTCATTTCGTGGAGAAGACTTTCCTGGTGACTTGAAATGTAAATATAGTTGGAAGATAGAGTGATTGGTGACTCCAAATAGATCTTAGTAAACTCATCGCCAGTGATGTTGGTCAAGTCATTATCATATGGGTTCACATATAATGAGTGGGACTGGGGTTGAGTGGACTCAAAAAGAGACAACTCGTCTTCCTCAAGATTACTATTGTCAATTATCATAGCTCTCTACATTGAAAATGTTTGAGTGGTTAAGTTAAAAATATAGAAAATGTCAATAAAAATAAAAACTGTTAAATTGCCAATAACTATTAAACCTGCATTATTGTTTGTTAACAATTCTGTTTGTTTAGTTTTCTTAAAAATTTAGAAAAATGATTTGCTGAGCATTAAGTTATTTTTTCGTGGATATATATTCTGGAATTTTTACGTGCATTGATACCATACTTTGCTATCGCTATCAGGAAAAAATATTCCTGTACTTGAATCATAAATTAGACATGTTTCGACATCTTATGATGCCATCTTCAGTACGAGTGAAATAATAAGTGATACAAAGTTTACATAAAAGTAATATTGTACATAAATTACAACAATAAAAAGGAAATAAGATAAATTAATGGGGAGCGTCCAAGCGTATTATAAACTTGTAGGCACACACTTTAAGCACACACTTATAGGCACACACTTGTAGGCACACACTTATAGGCACTTCCTATCACATATAGGCACATATTTTATAGGCACACACTTTATAGGCACACACTTATAGGCACACTTATAGGCACACACACACTTATTGGCACACACACTTATAGTTATAGGCATATCACACATTTATAGGCACACATTTATAGGCACACACTTTTATAGGCACACACTTATAGGCACATACTTATAGGCATACACTTTTTATAGGCACACACCACAGATCTAATAATACACTAGATACTGCCATACAAGTTGAAGCCGGGCAAATTTACTCCGGAGCCCAAAGTAGTGAGAATCAATATGACGTTGTATTAGAAAATATGTGGTCCAAGTTAATATCTCGCAATTATTAGCAAATCGCGAAGGTTGCATCAACTTTTTTGCACTATTTATTAAATAAATCATTGTGACTAAAGTTTGTAAGAAAAAAATTGCAGAATACGCCAATACATCGCCGTAAAATTGATTTCAAGTGTAGCTCGATTTGAAAGCATCAGCAGCGACGAAGGCTTAAGTACTGGAATTTGCACATTTAAATATCGTATCACAGCACAATCTGCGATAGTGTGGCTTAGTTCGAGTTACAGGTTAGAGATATTATGGGGAAAAAGAACTTGATATTTTTTGTATCCAATAATTTCTAGTTAAATAAGGAGGGGCGCCCTATCTGTTGTAACCAAATAAGTTTTATGTTGTCAACAAGTTATTGGAATTGTCAAGGTTAGCCGAGAAGTTCATTAAATATTCAACAATTAACAAATTCAACAACCATTGGGAATAATTAAGCATTGTAACTGTACATTAACTTTATTCGTAAGTATGCTTAACATATTGGTCAATGAGCAATGTGTAAATTGGTTATATTCAACGGAATTTTTTATCCCTCTTTTTGTTTCTAAGCACAGTAGATCTGGGATTCATCGTATATATTAATCACATTCTGCTTCTCCTAGCCTTGATAACTTTCTTATGTAATCAACACCTTGGTCCTTTGGGCTTTTAATTATTGGAAAAAATGTTTTGAAAAAACAATTTCTAAGATGTTGCTGTTTCCGTAGAGCAAGTAATATAATGACTTTAAAAAAGTTATCTATAAATTGGCCATTTTCAGCCGTCTAGAGATCTGAATTTCCAAAGTTTTCTCATGATTTTGCTTCCCCAGATCATTTGCTCATCTAATCATCTAGAGCATATATTTCTTGAACTAAGAATTCCTATTGGAAAAGAAAAAATCATGTATCACAACTTCGTAGAGCATTGTAAACCTTCGTAAGTGAGGGCCCGGGGCGGATCTAGGGGTAGGCACCATAGGCAAGTGCCTATGGTGAAATTACCAAAATATACCTCGACTTAGATTCGATACGAATTTATCGAATTATGAAACTATGAATAGCACTTTATCGCAGTCAAATCATCTGACTTTTGTTTAGAAATGTTGTGCAATTAAATGACGTAATTTTGATATGAATTGTAGTCCAGATGCGTATGATTATCTATAAAGCTTCGTGTCGTTAGGCAAAGAAGCAATTTTGCCTAAGTCAAGAAGGCGATCTAGCCATTTGATTGGTTGTTAGCAATTTGCCTAAACAAGATGAATTTGCCTAACTTGACATCGCGTATAGGTATTCTCATTGGTCAATTTTTTTTGCCTAACTTGAGCAATTCCAACCAATCATTGCTGTTGATAAGCATAGTTGAGCTAGGCAAATTAGGCAATTGAAAATTAACATACACTCGTATTGTTTCTGAACAGCCTCTGTGCTCAGTTTACGGTTTTGTGATATTTTATAATGTCTTCATTGTGTTGTGGTAATTTATACGAGACTGCTCAGTCTGCGTTGGCCAAAAACGATTTAAAATGCCTTAATGAGCTTTATTCTCGTTTATTGGTCGACGTTCGACCTATGTTTACTAACGAGCAGCTGTTAGATAGAATTTATGACCCCGACCATACTCTGTGTCGAAAATTTGGAGATGAAATATATGTGCCAAAGCACGCTCATGACGGAAAGACTTGTACTGCAATAAGGTAAATATATTATAATTATATATATCGTATTGTAGTATTTATATATACGTGTAAAATGGTTAAATCTCAATTTCGCTAGGCTATATCTTTGTCTACAGTCAGCAATTCATTCATACAATGCAATCAATCTACCAAACAAAATATTAATTTCTTTTCTTGAATATTTTTTAAGACTGAAGCTTCTGGCAATTGCCTCTACAGTTCAGCTTCCCTAGTTCTGGTAGGTAACAATGCATTGGTCCCTACTTTGCGAATTTTAACATCGCTTGAGCTATTTGGTCATGCTGCTTTTTATGCTCAACACCCATGCTTTTTGTCTGCTATAAGTGAGCACAGTGATTACTTTGCCCAAAGCTTAAACAATCTTTTGCCTTTGTCAGTGTCTAAAGAATGTTTAGACACTGGATATACAACAGATGAACTGGTAAAACAGGAGGCTATTTTAAATTGTAATGACTAGAAATGGTCATCTTTTCTTTGTATTTTGGGCCTATCTTCTGTTTTAGGTAGAAAAATTCATACTTTTTATCCTGATTCTGGTGAAAGTAGATATAAATTGTTATTTAATCGTATTGTTCAGCCCCGGTTATTAAGCCAAAGAGGTTTGGATGCTATTAATATTTTGTTTTGTCATGAAGGATCTGTACAACCAGGTGAGACTTTTCAGTCTAATCATTTTGTGCCTCTCATTTTCCATGCCCACAGGTTGAAGCGAAAATTGTCTAATTCCTGTACACAGTCTAATTTTAGCAGCTCAACAACAGAGAAAGGAAAATTTGTCAAAATTTTTCCAAATATTGCACCAAAAACAGTTGACATTTCAAATTTTTTTACTTCAACTAATAGGCCTGCTGCCCAACCAACTTTTAAAAGGATGCCCAATGAGAGTTTTTCTTCTGCTGCAGCTCTTGCTCAGACATTAAATAAAGCCAATAGTCTTTTGCTTCACACATCATCCCAGGAACTATTGCCTGGTATTCCAACTTCTGGTGATATGCAACCTGCTGTTTTAACCCATAATTTTGATGTTTCCTTGTATAGGGAGAAAGTTAAGGGTATGGATAATTCTGAAATATGTCATTTGATAAAAAATGTATATAAACCAGATAAAAAGTATCATTTTCCTAAATCTAATGGCAGATCATTTAGGCATGATTGGCTAGACCAGCATGAATGGCTTTGCTATTCACCTTCACAAAATGGTGCGTATTGTCTATCGTGTGTGTTGTTTGGCAATAGATTCCCAGGCAAGGCCAGTAAAGTAAAAAAGTTGTTTACTGAACCTCTTCAAGATTGGTAGAATGCTAAATGCTCTTTCACTCAACATGCTGGAAAAAGTGAAGGGAGGGAAGTCGGTTTGCATGCATCCACATCACCAATTTTTGATGCTTTGCGTTCCCAAATATCAGGTACTCTGCAGCCTATCGAGATGATCATGGATGCTGGTATCAAGAAAGAAATAGAGCAGAATAGGGAAGTACTATCTCCAATTATTGATTCTGTCATTTTTTGTGGACGTCTAGGTTTACCTCTTCGTGGGCATCGTGATGATTCTGTCAGTTTTAGAAAATCATTTAAAGAATTGTGGTAAGAATAGAAGTTATATTTCTAAAACAAGTCAAAATAAAATCATTAAATGTTGTGGCCAGGTAATCAGTAATCAGATTATTTCTGATATCAAAAAAAGTAAGTTTTTTTCTGTTATTGCTGATGAAGCATCTGATTCTTCACATAAAGAACAAATGTCTCTTGTTTTGCGCTTTGTTGATACCGATATGAATATCAGGGAAGAATTCATTTCATTTCTTTTTTGTAAGTGGAGACTAAGTGGTGCTCAACTTTCCAAGCTACTTTTAGAGGCTCTAAAGGAACTGACTTTATCAATAGATGATTGTAGGGGGCAAGGTTATGATGGGGCTGGTTCAGTTGCTGGTTGCACTAATGGTCTAGCAGCTCAAATTTTAAAGCTTAACCCAAAGGCTCTTTATACACACTGCTATAGTCATAGGTTAAACTTATCCTTTGCGATTCTTTGAGTATACGTGTTGTCAATGATATGTTGAAACATGTTAACAATGCCACTAATTTTATTAAAATTTCCCAAACTCGCAATATTCCCTTTGAAAACATATACGTAATTCAGAAACAAACTCGAAAAGACTAGATTAACAGACGTTTGCAAAACTAGATGGGTAGAACGTATCGAAGGTTTAGATACATTCCAAGAGCTTTTGTACCTGTATACACCACCCTTAACGATATGTCTGAAAATCTAGATGGTGAGTTCAAACCGTCGCTTCAGTCTGATGCCTCATCTTTGTTTCAACTTATTGACAGGTTTGATTTCGTCGTTGCTTTAGTTATCACGAGAAATATTCTTGATTCAACTCTTCCAGTAACACAGTTATTACAGGGTAAGAGTATCGATATAATGGATGGTATTCATTTAATTTCAACTTTGAAAACTGAGGTGGTGAACATGAGGAATTCCTCTGATTTTTATCATGACACCTGGTATGACGAAGCGCTTGAACTGGCAGCAAAAGTTGGCATTGAAGAATGGAAACCAAGAACAGTGCGCAAACAAACGACCAGGAAAATATCCCCACACAACCATTTCTGAGTATTATAAACGTGCAATTACTCTTCCTCTACTAGATCATTTGCAATCTTCTTTAGAATCACGATTCGACCTTGAGAGTGTGAATGTCTATAAAGGCCTTAGCATTGTACCGACGAAAATGATGTCCATGACAAGAGATGGGGTGGATTGGAAAGAGCCATTCAAAACTGTGGCTAACTTTTATTATGATGATTTGCCAAATCCTTTGGCCTTAGATGCTGAACTTAGGTTGTGGTACACTTATTGGGAGACCCACTGCGGCCTCCTTCCTGATAACATTGCCCAGACTTTAAAATCTGTTCATTTCGCCGGATTTGAAAACATTAAAATTTTACTACGTATTTTAGGAACGCTCCCATTACCTCTTGTGAATGTGAACGATCTATTTCTTCCCTTAGGACACTTAAAACTATCAGCGAAGTACCATGGTTGGGGAACGCTTAAATGGTTTGGCCTTGATGCAAATTCATCAGGAAATTGTACCAGATATTGGTGAGGTTATTAATACTTTTGCTGTTGGAAATACAAGGCTAAAATTTGCATGAATTTATTCATATCCTAGTTTTTTATTTTGTTGAAATGTCCATATGTTAACCATTTATTGTGCGTTGTACACAATAGTAACGTCAATAGAATTTGCATCAAACTAATAGCTCGCCCGATAAAGGTTTTTCCCTATATACATTCCAATCTTAAAACTGCTGAGTACGTGTATGGTACTCGGCCGTTGTCGACATAAATTTACTTTCACAAAATTGTTAAGCATAAATAGAATAATTTTTCCTTACACCAAATTTTAGTCTTCACAAAGACTCTTTATACAAAGCTCTATTTTGACTATTACATTACATTTACATTCTGCTCATTTGTTGGCAAATGAGAGTGCACATTTTAGGTGGGGGGTAAAGGGTTGGAATTGACTGGGATGGTGTAAGAAACTGAGCAATCTTACATCCATGAAATGTCCCACATAGTCACCCATTTCTAACCAAACTCCTTTTGCTATTTGCTAAAGGTGTGAAAGGCGAGTTTCTGGCGCCTTCAAAACCAGAGTGCTCATTTTAGGTGGGGGGTAAAGGGTTGGAATTGACTGGGATGGTGTGAAAAATTGAGCAATATCACATCCATGAAATATCCCATATAGTCACCCATTTCTAACCAAACTCCTTTTTCAAAGGTGTGTAGGCGCACTTCTGGCGCCATAACCAGTCTGCTTAATTCGGCTCTCACAGGGCTGTCCATGCCGGATCACGATTTTTTGTTTTGCGTTAAAGTGTTCCTAGGCATGCTGATGAGCCCTTATGTGGGGCGAAACAGTCTTGTGTGCATTCAATATTCTGAATAGTGAAAATCAACGACCTTGTGATATGTAAGTATAAATATACAATGTTTTTATGTATTTATACGATTGAGATCTACAAGATTCTGCATAGCTGAATGATTAGACTGTTTGATTTAAACAATTTATCGAAAGCATAAATAGTGTAGTATGTTTTGCAAAGTATGACGTAATAGGTTTAGCACTGAATGACGTCATAATGTTTTGCCTATGGTATCCAAAATCCTAGATCCGCCCCTGGTTCCGACACAAGTGACTCTTCTATATATTCTTATTCTCTGCCTATACTGTGACAAAGATGTCATTAATGTTTCATAAACTGTTTGCTGAAGTAGATCCTAGTTCATTTTTTTATCTTCGCTCGTTTATTTAGTATGTTTATGTAACAAAATTCACATGGATAAAAAATTAATGTTACAATAAGGCATGAACTATGAACACCATTTTTTAACTGATATGTATGTGGTCGCCTTATTTATATTAAATCTCTCATCCGTTTGTTGAGTATGTGACATGTAAAAACTAAAGCAAGCAAAATTTTGTTCACTTGGTCGTATTACTTTTAAAACAAAGGTAATTTTGGAAAAATTAGGCGATATTTTAGAGCAACCAACTTCCTAACTATTGACAATAAGTTGCATGGTAAAGAAAGGCAAAACCTGTTCAAAGGTATGCGAGAGGTGAAATAGCATACTTGTCTATAGGAAAAAAAGAATCTCTGAAAATTTATGTAGGGGGGGATAGCATGTCCAATCATGCATCACCTCCCTTTTTTTGCCGACACTACTTTTGACTAATCGCTGTGTGTCTAGCAAAATGTTGTTAATTGTATTGAGCAAACCATTCATTTCAAAGTAAAAACATTTTGTAAAATAAGCAAATGTTAAACGTATGAAGAATGTATTTATAAAGAGAAAAGACGCAACCGGATCTATTTTTTTTTAAATCTTGATTCGTGTAACAGTGTGAGCTTTTAAAATTATATTTTTGATCATGTTTGTTTAACAGTTTTAAAGTTTACTTTTATTGCAACCTTTACTATTGTATCTACAGTGTCTTTATTGATCATAAGTAATTATAATTGCGTGCAATTGATGTTTGCCACGTATTCATAATTTACGATGGTTCATTCAATAACAGACGTGTTATATAATATGAACGGCTTATGCAAGAATATACATGTTTGGAATTTTTGATTAATAAAGGGAAAAAATCCATTCCAGTTTCGAATATCGTGTTTTAATCATTGGCATTCAAATCCTGTCTTAGATAGGTGATTCTCTATTCCTGAGTTAAAACTTGTAAAACTTTAAAAGATTTAGCAGTAGTCCTTTGGAATTTGACTAATCTCAATGTTATTATGTACTCTGCATGAGGTTCTTATTTATGTATTTTTATTTCTATAACAATTGTTTTTAGTCAGTGATAGATACTTAGTTATATAAGTAGAATGTTCTACATAGATGTCATTAATGTTTTATTATACTGTGTGTTGAAGGAGATCCTGAATCACTCTTCATTTTTTAACGATGTTTATTTGTGTTTATGTAACGAAACTTACATAGATAAAGTTTGATGTAACAATAAGGTATGAATTATAATCATTATTTTTAACTGATATGTATGTGGTTGCATTGTTTATATTAAATCTCTCATCCGTTTGTTGTGTATGTGACATGTATAGAACTAAAGCAAGCATGATTTTGTTTACACGGTCGTCTTACTTCAAAAAAGATGGTAATTTTAGAAAAATTAAGCAATATTTTAGAACTACATTACCGACATAACAAATTAGCTAAAGAAGCATCTCGATAAAGTATGACTAAACATGCATGAGAAATCATATCTTAATTGATGTACCAACTTTCTAACTATTGAATATAAGCTGCATGGTAAAGAAAAGCAAAACCATTTCAAAGGTATTGGAGAGGTGAAATAGCATTCTTGTCTTTGGAAAAACGGAATATGTGAAAAGTTAGGTAGGGGGGATAGCATGTCCAATCATGCATCACCTCCCTTTTTTGCCGACGCCACTTTTGACTAATCGCTGTGTGTCTAACAAAATGTTGTTAATGGTATTGAGCAAACCATTCATTTTAAAAGTAAAAAGTTTTGTAAAATAAGCAAATGTTAAACATAGGAAGAATGTATTTACACAGAGAAAGCACGCAACCGAATCTATTTTTGTGAAATGTTGATTCATGCATCACGGTGAGCTTTTAAAATTATACTTTTGATCATGTTTATTTAACAGTTTTAAAGTTTACTTTCACTGCATCCTTTACTGTTGTATTTACAGTGTCTTTATTGATCAGAAGTAATTATAATTGCGTGCAATTGATGTTTGCCATGCATTTATAATTTACGATGGTTCATTCAATAACAAAGGTTTTATATAATATGAACGGCTTATGCAATAACATACATGTTTGGAATTATTGATTAATAAAGGGAAAAAATCCATTCCAGTTTTGAAAATCGTGTCTTAATCATTGGCATTCAAATCCTGTCTTAGGTGATTCTCTATTCCTGAGTTAAAACTTGTAAAACTTTAAAAGATTTAGCAGTAGTCCTTCGGAATTTGACTAATCTCAATGTTATTATGTACTCTGCATGAGGTTCTTATTTATGTATCTTTATTTCTATAACAATTGTTTTTAGTCAGTGATAGATACTTAGTTATATAAGTAGAATGTTCTACATAGATGTCATTAATGTTTTATTATACTGTTTGTTGAAGGAGATCCTGACTCACTCTTCATTTTTTAACGATGTTTATTTGTGTTTATGTAACGAAACTTACATAGATAAAGTTTGATGTAACAATAAGGTATGAATTATAATCATTATTTTTAACTGATATGTATGTGGTTGCATTGTTTATATTAAATCTCTCATCCGTTTGTTGTGTATGTGACATGTATAGAACTAAAGCAAGCATGATTTTGTTTACACGGTCGTCTTACTTCAAAAACGATGGTAATTTTAGAAAAATTAAGCAATATTTTAGAACTACATTACCGACATAACAAATTAGCTAAAGAAGCATCTCGATAAAGTATGACTAAACATGCATGAGAAATCATATCTTAATTGATGTACCAACTTTCTAACTATTGAATATAAGCTGCATGGTAAAGAAAAGCAAAACCATTTCAAAGGTATTGGAGAGGTGAAATAGCATTCTTGTCTTTGGAAAAACGGAATATGTGAAAAGTTAGGTAGGGGGGATAGCATGTCCAATCATGCATCACCTCCCTTTTTTGCCGACGCCACTTTTGACTAATCGCTGTGTGTCTAACAAAATGTTGTTAATGGTATTGAGCAAACAATTCATTTTAAAAGTAAAAACTTTTGTAAAATAAGCAAATGTTAAACATAGGAAGAATGTATTTACTCAGAGAAAGCACGCAACCGAATCTATTTTTGTGAAATGTTGATTCATGCATCACAGTGAGCTTTTAAAATTATACTTTTGATCATGTTTATTTAACAGTTTTAAAGTTTACTTTCACTGCATCCTTTACTGTTGTATTTACAGTGTCTTTATTGATCAGAAGTAATTATAATTGCGTGCAATTGATGTTTGCCATGCATTTATAATTTACGATGGTTCATTCAATAACAAAGGTTTTATATAATATGAACGGCTTATGCAATAACATACATGTTTGGAATTATTGATTAATAAAGGGAAAAAATCCATTCCAGTTTTGAAAATCGTGTCTTAATCATTGGCATTCAAATCCTGTCTTATATAGGTGATTCTCTATTCCTGAGTTAAAACTTGTAAAACTTTAAAAGATTTAGCAGTAGTCCTTCGGAATTTGACTAATCTCAATGTTATTATGTACTCTGCATGAGGTTCTTATTTATGTATCTTTATTTCTATAACAATTGTTTTTAGTCAGTGATAGATACTTAGTTATATAAGTAGAATGTTCTACATAGATGTCATTAATGTTTTATTATACTGTGTGTTGAAGGAGATCCTGAATCACTCTTCATTTTTTAACGATGTTTATTTGTGTTTATGTAACGAAACTTACATAGATAAAGTTTGATGTAACAATAAGGTATGAATTATAATCATTATTTTTAACTGATATGTATGTGGTTGCATTGTTTATATTAAATCTCTCATCCGTTTGTTGTGTATGTGACATGTATAGAACTAAAGCAAGCATGATTTTGTTTACACGGTCGTCTTACTTCAAAACGATGGTAATTTTAGAAAATTAAGCAATATTTTAGAACTACATTACCGACATAACAAATTAGCTAAAGAAGCATCTCGATAAAGTATGACTAAACATGCATGAGAAATCATATCTTAATTGATGTACCAACTTTCTAACTATTGAATATAAGCTGCATGGTAAAGAAAAGCAAAACCATTTCAAAGGTATTGGAGAGGTGAAATAGCATTCTTGTCTTTGGAAAAACGGAATATGTGAAAAGTTAGGTAGGGGGGATAGCATGTCCAATCATGCATCACCTCACTTTTTTGCCGACGCCACTTTTGACTAATCGCTGTGTGTCTAATAAAATTTTGTTAATGGTATTAAGCAAACCATTCATTTTAAAAGTAAAAAGTTTTGTAAAATAAGCAAATGTTAAACATAGGAAGAATGTATTTACTCAGAGAAAGCACGCAACCGAATCTATTTTTGTGAAATGTTGATTCATGCATCACATTGAGCTTTTAAAATGATACTTTTGATCATGTTTATTTGACAGTTTTAAAGTTTACTTTCACTGCATCCTTTACTGTTGTATTTACAGTGTCGTTATTGATCAGAAAGAATTATAATTGCGTGCAATTGATGTTTGCCATGCATTTATAATTTACGATGGTTCATTCAATAACAAAGGTTTTATATAATATGAACGGCTTATGCAATAACATACATGTTTGGAATTTTTGATTAATAAAGGGAAAAATCCATTTCAGTTTCGAAAATCGTGTCTTAATCATTGGCATTCAAATCCTGTCTTATATAGGTGATTCTCTATTCCTGAGTTAAAACTTGTAAAACTTTAAAAGATTTAGCAGTAGTCCTTCGGAATTTGACTAATCTCAATGTTATTATGTACTCTGCATGAGGTTCTTATTTATGTATCTTTATTTCTATAACAATTGTTTTTAGTCAGTGAAAGATACTTAGTTATATAAGTAGAATGTTCTACATAGATGTCATTAATGTTTTATTGTACTGTTTGTTGAAGGAGATCCTGAATCACTCTTCATTTTTGATCGATGTTTATTTGTGTTTATGTAACGAAACTTACATAGATAAAAGTTTGATGTAACAATAAGGTATAAATTATGATCATTATTTTTTAACTGATATGTATGTGGTTGCGCTGTTTATATTAAATCTCTCATCCGTTTGTTGTGTATGTGACATGTATAGAACTAAAGCAAGCATGATTTTGTTTACACGGTCGTCTTACTTCAAAAACGATGGTAATTTTAGAAAAATTAAGCAATATTTTAGAACTACATTACAGACATAAAGCCTAGTTCTCATTCATCGCAAAACGTCGCTAGTATCGCCGATGGTCGGTGTCGATGGCCTTGTGTTCTCATTAATCGCAAAGCATCGCACACCATCGGCGATGGTCGGTGATTGCTTTGAGAAAAAAAATGGCTCCTAGTCCAACATGGCTGCTCTTGAAAAAAGACGAAGAATCAGACTTTGTTGAGTCATGCTCATAAACCACAAAAACATGTTAAGGAAATAGTATGTGCGTAGTTTAGTTTATCAATGTATCCGTTCCCACACGGCTAAGAGCCAAGGAACAGTTATTGACGTTAGTTAAATTTCCTTATGTACCATATATAGCTTAAACAGAGGAACTACTCCGACCAATAATAATATTTGTTGTTTGTAATAAAGACTATAAATACTGCTCTGTAAAACAATAAAATCAGTTCGATCATTAAATTCACTCGTGGTTGTTACTGAAGGTATAGAGTATATTAAGAAATAGATATGGCGAGTAACTCGAACACAACAGACTTCGATTCAGTGCAAGCATTAAATGTTCTTGCTGTTAAAGCAAAGGACGATGATAGAAGCTTTATGGAAATTATTCGTGAATTTCCCACGATATACGACAAGCGAACAAACGGTTTTCGTGACAAACGAAAGAAAGCTAACTGCTGGCAACGAATAGCTGAATTGCTTGAAACTACAACAGAAGAAGTGGAAAGGAGATACAAGACTATTCGTACTGCATTTTCTCGTTATCTTTCAAAACAAAAGTTAAAGTCTGGGTCTGGAGTAAGCGATATTCCGAATATTGATCAAAGGTTCGAGAATCTTGGATGGCTTACAATCCATATGACTTCAAGACAAGGGACAAGTAACTTGAATGTATCACTTAGTCAACCAAACATAACCAAAGACAGTGTCTCAAATATAGTTACACTTCGTGCAGAAGATCCCGACTTGGTTGAAGAGTTATCAGATAGAGAAAATGATCAATATGAAGAAACTAATATAACATTAGATATATCTGTAGATGACAATTTTCAAGGCGAAGCAACTGAACAAATTTGTGATGTTGCAGAGGAAATAAGAGACACAGAAAATGGGACCCACCAAAAGTAGCCAATAAAAAGGCAAAAAAGAGATGTTAGTGGTACAAGCTGGGTTGGAGCTAAAATCAATAACAAAATGCAATTGAAAAAAACTGATGAACAAATTAAAGAAGCCATGTCAAAGTTGGACAAGTCCTTAAAATGTTTGGAAAACAGCCAAAAAGATAAACCTAATGTGGAGAATGATGAAGACTACTTTTACTGTTTGAGTTTAGCCCCCAGACTGAGAAGGCTTGATGGAAAAAAGAAGGCTTTAATTAGGAACTTAATTGAGAAGGCTTTCATGGAAGTTGAGTATGGAGGTTTTTCAAATCCAAATTACTTGAATTCATTTCCAACTTTTGTTGGTTCTGTGCCAAATAGACAAGCAAATTATGGGAATAATTAAAAGTTTCATATCGGCTATTGTCAAAACAGGTTTATATCATTTAGTTTGTTATTTGATGGATAAGACATTTACTTTATTTAGTTTCAGAAGAAATTGTTGCTTACTGTAATAAAACTTCATTATTTTGTGTGATTACCATGAAACTACTCAGTGCACTAACTTTATCTAATTTTCCCAAAAATACAACTGTAGAACTTTCAAATATATTAAATCAAATATAAGCACTTCCAGTTGCTCTAAAATAATCATTTCCACACAAAGTAAGTTACTGCACTGTTTAGTTTGTTGATAACTCAGTTTTTAGCAAGTAGAGTAAGATACTCATTAACTCATTATTGTTTACATAGTTTAAAATTAATGTTCATAATACATGTTAGTTTCAAATATATATTTTACAATGTCTAAAATCTTGCAATGCAGTGTAAATGTTGTAGATAACATGGGAGTCAATAGTCCTGGAGCAAATAATTTCATTTGCCATCAAGCATAAAAAGATGTTGATAGGATAAATTTTAACTCAAATGCTTATTTGCATACACACAACTATGCTAAATTATGCTGCAATGAGGTTGGCTTTTTACAAATAACTATCACTGATCTGTGAATAAAAACCATGTGGTCAACTATTGTAATAACAAGGCTATTAACAACTTAATAATTTTATTTATATGAAACCTGAAATTAGTGGTGCAGATTATGGTTAGACTATACTCCAAACAATATGTCAGTTAACTTTAAAAACTATTAACATAAGTGACTTGCCAAGACAAGGATCCCTCTTTGCTTGTGAAATATTTCTTGAATTTTTCTCTAACTTCAATAGCTTCAAAGGAAGATCTATTATTTGCCCTTCCAACTGAGAATGCTTCCATTGCACCATTATCACCTGATGTAATGCTTCTCCAGTTACCAGGTACGATATTACCTGTAGTATCTTCAGCATCTACAAAACCAGCTGGGATGTAATGGGCATTGTATGTTAGCTGTAAATAATTATGCAGGCATAAGCATGCTTTTATAATCAAGTCAACTGTTTCAGGCTTGGCTTTGATTGGGCGGCGAAAAATCCTCCACCTTGCTGAAAGGATGCCAAAACTGTTTTCTATTGTTCGTCTGCAACGACTAAGTCTGTAATTAAATATTTCTTTATCTTGTGGTAATCCTTTACCACCATATGGCTTCATTAACCATGGTTTGAGTGCAAAGATTTCATCGGCTACAACAACATAAGGCAGTGTATGGCCAACAATGGAACTGCAGGATGGAACATTTAATTCATTATTTGACAAAGTTTTGCCCATTGCTGAATTATTGAAAATTTGTGCATCATTGTCTCTTCCATTATTTCCAATATCCACCAATGTAAAACAGTACCTAGCATCACACATGGCCATCAATACGATACTATAAAACTTTTTGTAATTAAAAAAATTAGATCCACTATTGGCAGGGCATTCAATTGCAATGTGTTTTCCATCCAATGCACCTATGCAGTTTGGAAAATTCCACTGAGTAAACATTTCATTTGCGATCTCTTTCCATTCATGCTCAGACTTTGGAGCCTTCAGGTATGTGGTACATAAAGAATTCCATATTCCACTACATGTTTCTTTTATGATATTACAAACTGTGCTTTTTCCCAATCTGAAATTAAAGGCTTGGGATTGTTGGGAATCCCCCGTAGCTAAATATCGCAAAGTAACGACAAGTCTTTCTCCTGCAGAAACTGGTATTCTGCTGTTGCATTTCTTTTTTGTAATGTAGGGGGCAACAAGATTTAATAGATGCTCTAGCCTCTCTGGACTCATTCTTAAAAACTTGAAAAAATACTCTCGATCGTGCAATTTTAACTCTTCAACCAAAATATGAAATTGACTTTCCTGCTGGCGTTTCTTCAACATTTCTCTTATCCAAAACCTTCTCTTTCGTGGTTTGTTTAATCTGAGTAAAATTTGCTTTTTCCTTATTAACAAAGCCAATAAATACAATTGAAGCTGCACAGAAATTACAATATTCAATTGCAAGCTTCTATCGATGTCTGTTGTGTTCGAGTTACTCGCCATATCTATTTCTTAATATACTCTATACCTTCAGTAACAACCACGAGTGAATTTAATGATCGAACTGATTTTTATTGTTTTACAGAGCAGTATTTATAGTCTTTATTACAAACAAAAAATATTATTGGTCGGAGTAGTTCCTCTCTTTAAGCTATATATGGTACATAAGGAATTTAACTAACGTCAATAACTGTTCCTTGGCTCTTAGCCGTGTGGGAACGGATACATTGATAAACTAAACTACGCACATACTATTTCCTTAACATGTTTTTGTGGTTTATGAGCATGACTCAACAAAGTCTGATTCTTCGTCTTTTTTCAAGAGCAGCCATGTTGGACTAGATTATGGAAAGTTGTCGGTAATGATCGGCTATGATCGCAAGAAACAAACCGTTTTGTTTCTTGCGATGGCATCGCCGACGCTCGGCGTTCGTCACAAAAAATCGGCGACATAAATTTTAACGCGTTCTCATTAATAGTAAGCGCTCGCCGACGTCGCAAAAGCTCTATCGCCGACGTTTCCCGATGAATGAGAACTAGGCTTAACAAATTAGCTAAAGAAGCATCTCGATAAAGTATGACTAAACATGCATGAGAAATCATATCTTAATTGATATACCAACTTTCTAACTATTGATGTAAGCTGCATGGTAAAGAAAAGCACAACCATTTCAAAGGTATTGGAGAGGTGAAATAGCATTCTTGTCTTTGGAAAAACGGAATATGTGAAAAGTTATGTAGGGTTATAGCATGTCCAATCATGCATCACCTCCCTTTTTTGCCGACGCCACTTTTGACTAATCGCTGTGTGTCTAACAAAATGTTGTTAATTGTATTGAGCAAACCATTCATTTTAAAGTAAAAACATTTGTAGAATTAGCAAATGTTAAACATAGGAAGAATGTATTTACACAGAGAAAAGACGCAACCGAATCTATTTTTTTTTAAATCTTGATTCATGCAACATTGTGAGCTTTTAAAATTATACTTTTGATCATGTTTGTTTAACAGTTTTAAAGTTTACTTTTATTGCATCCTTTACTATTGTATCTATAGTGTCTTTATTGATCATAAGTAATTATAATTGCGTGCAATAATGTTTGCCATGTATTCATAATTTACGATGGTTCATTCAATAACAGACGTGTTATATAATATGAACGGCTTATGCAAGAATATACATGTTTGGAGTTTTTGATTAATAAAGGGAAAAAGTCCATTCCAGTTTTAAAAAATCGTGTCTAAATCATTGGCATTCAAATCCTGTCTTAGATAGGTGATTCTATATTCCTGAGTTAAAACTTGTTGAAACTTTATAAGATTTAGCCGTAGTCCTTTGGAATTTGACTAATATTAATTTTATTATGTACTCTGCATGAGGTTCTTATTTATGTATCTTTATTGATCTTTCCGAAACTTTAAAGATCATTTGGACAATGCTATCTCGTATTAATTTAAGACTTTATACTTAATCAAAGAATTTATCTTAACTAACCTCAAAAGGTTAGGCAAATTGTAATTCGGACGTCGCGTATTAATATTTCTTAGCTCACACATATTAACGCAAGTGATCAGAAATATCAATTTTATCCCTTCCAGCGACCGGTACTAACAACTTGTACTGTCTGTCTGGTATATAGTCCAATTCGGGTTGGGATAAAACACGGTTGTGGGGATAAAACACGGATAAGGGGATTAAACACGGATCTTCCTAAAATTCTACTTCTTTTCATTTAGTTGTGTTTAACAAAATTGTCATGAAATTTTTCAATGTGCCAAATTGTAGGAAAGTAAAACCAAATAATTCTAAAAAATCAATTAAAAAATGCTTCGCAAAATTTTATTTTACATGTGAATATAGTTAGCATATAAGCTCTCTGCCAAAGACATTATCTATACATTGTTTTTCTGCCTGAAAAAGTGACCCTATGTCTTAAGTTGCAGGTTAAATTTAGCGGGTAAAATGAAAGAGAATTGCTCTTTTAAAAGTAGATGTTCGTAGAAAAAGTTTATGTTGAATTCTCGGGGGTTCTTTATTTCTGTCTATGCACACTTGAATGTGCATTATGTTCTCTAGGTATCAACGTTCTCTGCTGTTAACACTAAAATGTATTCTTAGCACTGAAAATTCATGACTTGCGTTTGTTATGCACATATGCCCGTTCACACGATAAGATTTGTCGTATCCGATTGTTTCGGTTCCGACTTAACTTTGGTTTATTGACTAATTTTGTTGATATTTATTTTCGTTTAGATATTTATATTTGTGTTATCCAGAACATTTATCGATATACTTTTCGTATTTTGTTCTTGTTTACTTGTCTTTTTAAAATCTATGTAATTTGACTGGTCAGTTTTCTTTGGTCTTGTTTGATGAAAATAGAACAAGCTCTATTTTCATACGATATTTTAGATGGACAAATCGGGCTGTCGGAGGATCACTTTTTTGTGCTCGCAGGATCCGAAAATTTGTCAATGAACTATGTAATAAACTAAAAGTTCCAAGGAATTTAATCGTTTTCAAATAACAAACAATGACATCAATTTCATTAGAGTTCAAATACATAAATGCTTCTTTTCTCTGTCATTGTCAACAAAATAAACATGCGAGTGAATTATATTAGTAAAAATAAAACATGGCAGTACATTTTACACTCTTTGAACATACCTTTTTGTTTATTTTGAATGAGCATAAACATACAATACATTTAAGCAAAAAACACACTCCAAAAGACATCATCTTGTAAACTGAAGATTCGAGTTGTAAAAGCAAGAGACAAGATTCAAAGCAATATTTTGACTTTAATTCAAAGTCATCATGAAGCTGAGTGATTATGTACAAGGATGCGTGATCTTAAATAGTTGTTACAAGGAAATGACGTAAGCAATGTAAAGAAAGAAAGGCGATGAAAGGAGTTGTTTCTGTGTAGAATTACATCATGAAATTAAAAAATAGCAAGTTCTTTAGAAGCCTTTAGTCTAGAATTTAGCTGCAGTTTACGTTGCGTAACTGGCACTCCAACGTACCTGAACTGGAATCGTTACAACCGCATAAACGGATGAGACTACATATACAAAGCAACAATATGGAGCGAAGACATGCGAAGAAACAATTTCTGCGCTATCATGGACAAAAAGAATAATCTCATCAAATTTTGGATACCTACGAACATGTCTCACAACACGAAGCGTGAGAGGTTAGCAAAGACAGTGAAGATTTATGACCCACCGAGTTTAATGTCTTCCGGTCACGTTGTTGTCCAAGCTCCACCATCGAGACTGCCGTGATGCCAAGTTATCGTGGGATGAGGAATTACCACTACAAATCAGAGATAAATGGTCATCCTAGGTAATATATTTTCCACAATCTATCAAATTTCCACTAAAACTCATGTGTTTACAGGAAATCATCCAAAAAGCTGCATACCTTTGCTGATGCTAGCAGTCACGGAGTTGGGAAAATAGTGATGGTCATTGTTCATCAAGAGAGTGGTTCATGCAAGGGCTTGGTGGCTGCCAAATCTCGTCTTGCTGAGAAACTGGCTATTACGACGTCTAGAACTTTTATTGGTACATACGGCAACAAACCTTATTCATAACTTCACTCGCGTTAGTATTCCGATTTGAACGAAGGTGCGAGTTAAAATCTCGTCCAAGTCACATGTTTTTCATGTGCATACTAAAACCGTGTTAGGAGTAATATATTATATATGTTCTCTGATGATGGCTTTGGAATAAAGTCGAAAAACGGTGCCATCCAGTAAACTGCTATAGTGGCAAGAATCTCTAGTCCATACGCAGTTTAAAAGAGATTTGACTAGTCTCCAATCCCTGTGGGCTTGGTAGCTCAACTGGTAAAGCGGCGGACTAGTATCCCGAAGGCGGGTGTAAGGGGATGTAAAAAATTTCAAGCCATTCCCTACCCAAGCGTTGTCTCTGGAAATCTACCTAGAGATCGTACTGAGTGGCGTTTACCGTTACTAAAAATTGATGCATGTGAACTACGGTGGCCCAATAAAGTATCGTAAAAGGAAAAGTATTGAAGGAAAAGCCAGGATTGTAGTGTATGTATATGCAGTCACGAGAGCATTACATCTGGAATTAACCAAGTCTAAGGACATTCAAGATTTTCTCTTAACTTTCAAACGGTTAATGGCGCGATGAGTCAGTTTGTTTTTAAGTTTCCGGTGAGGTGTCAGTAGTAATGTAAACAATCGGGGGAGTGTCTAACATCAACGCTCATTTTATGTTTTATTATTTTTTAGAGATTTGTTATCAGTGCTAAGAAACATCTAAATGTGCACGCACTTATTTTCTATGAACTGTAAAGGCTCACAATAGTATAATGAAAGTGCTATAAACACCAAATAATATAGAAAGTTCATTAATGCAAAAAAACTGCGCTTTTATTCTAACGCTTTTCATTAGTGCTGGCACAATGTTAACATTCTGAAGTTTTGTCAGGTTCAAGTAGATAATGTTATGAATTTTGGACCAACCACACTTATATATTAAACAATTGTCAGTTGATCTTGGACAAAGGACAGTGAAAATGAAAGTTGCGCAAATATCTGCGTTCGTATGAAACATTGAAATTTGCATTTATAATGTTTTGCTTACGACTGAAAATTGATCAATACATTAAATACATAGACTACAGCTGACACCACAGAGATGCTACAGTACCATTTATAGCTTTGCTTTTAAAGGTGGTCATCCCACTTTTATGGGTTTTTTCATAATTTCCAAGAAATAAAATGAAGTTTGCCATCTTCTCCAAGGAATTGACAAGACCGAGAAACAATTGACAATAAAAACTTTCATATTCTCAATTTAAAATTACACTAATATTCATGACGGCCTGCTAATTAACACAAACGTGTGATATAGATATCGAAAAACCTAGCATAGGTTTTGAAAAACATTTGCTATGACAAACACTAAAAACATTCTCGTTTTTCACATGCATTATAAAGTCATTCGTTATTATTGCGCCCTATTTTTTTCGTGTTTTACTATTTACGTATGAGATATTTTAATGAACGGTTTCGTGAAAGTGTTTGAGTTAACGGTTGGTCATATTGTGTTGAGAGTTGCCCAAAGTGTAAGACCTTTGACTATACATACGTGGAAGTCTTGCGAGATCGCGCGCGTAACACCCATTGCACATAAATAAGGAAGCTGCAGCCTGCTGTGAGAAATATTTAAAAATTTTTATGTTATTGAATATCAGAACGTCAACGTAAGTTGGAGATATTTTCTGGCGATTTATGATCATGATATCAAGAAATATTCCTTCCATCAGATAAAACAGTAAGATAAAGATTTTACATCCTTAGATGGCGACTAGGCTTAATTTTAATTTACGTATCTATCTAAGTAGAACAAAGACAGTTTTTCATTTTAAAATTTACGTAAGACTTTGACTAATGACAACGAACATCAACATACTTTGAACTTTTGATATGATTAAACTTGTTTGTTGATATGTGTTGATTTGCTACTGAATAACATACTAAAGTCAATATTTTATATGTGTTCTTCATCTTTTATAATTGATCAATGATTTTAGAGAATGTGTGGTCGTTAAATATACTTTTGTTACAAGATTTATCTATTTACTTGGATTCATTCATGTACAGGAAGATCAATAATTGTTGGGTGGGGGCTCATATTAATTTATGTTAATGATATGTTTTTATTCTTCAGTTGCTAGCTATTTCATGTAGTTTGCCTATATTTTTAGAATAATAATCTAACCAATGAAAAATGGTTTTGGTCATAGGCGTACACATTCTTACTTCTTTTACACAATTTTGGATCAACTCTTATAAAAATTATGTCCACCAATTTTTCATTGGCTTTCTTATTAAAATGTTTTGTTGACCATTTTTATTGCCTTCATCACTTTTGCTGACTTCTCGACACACTACCTTTTTTAACAAGAAAAACTGTGGCAGGACTGTAGGATGATTGTTAATTTGGAGATCATATTATGTATGCATAATATAGTCTACATGTGTTAAGTTCCTTTGAAAACCGTTGTTGTCGATGGATCATTACATCCAAATGTTTATGTCACCCCAACCACAGTATTGAGAATATACAATAGGACCACTTTCTTTGCAACTTACTGCTGTATAAATAATTATATTACTGGGTGTAATTTTCCAGCACAGTGCCCCTATTGGTCAAAAAATGGTAGTGTCTGACTGCCACTATGGTAATCACTTGCGGAATAAAATATGCATAGCACTAAAATATTCAATGCAATCTACTGTATGTTTTCTATAAAATTATACTATATGTTTTATAACTGTGCCCCAATTTCATTATGTCTTCCTTAGGTCGTAAGTTGTGAATGAAGCACTAGACCAAATAAATTACACCTGCTCATTTTTTTATCATAATACCTTCCAAACAATGAAAATGGTTATGAATGGTTATGAAAGTGTACCCTCCACCGAAAAAATATTTCAGCAATATTAAATCTGTCGCTGACTTTAAGGCTCGTCGAGGAAAAAATTTTAAATTTGCTAAAATCGTTTGATTTTTGTAAAAGCGTTAAATTCACTATAATCGTATATTCGTGTGAACCATGTCCATGATAATGAGGAGTCTGAAACAAGCTAATTTTCTGACGTCATCCAAGGTACTCGTGTTACACGAGTCGTGTATTCAATTGCTATCAAGTCAATGCTGGCTGAGGCACAACTTATGTCTATTAGCTTCTAAAAGCATTGCCTTTGCACTAGTAAAAGCAGAAAAAAGGTAAATAGTTGCGTTGCAGCCAATTGTACGAATGAGTCAACCCTTTGCTCTCGTATGAGTCTTCACACTATGCCTTATAATGATAAAAGACCCAAGGACAAGCGAAGACGGAATATCTAGGTTTTAAAGTAAAGCGCGTGTTTGAGCCTTCCAGTGCTTCAACACTTTGTTCGGCTCGATTAAAACCAGAGGATTTGGAGCGCATTATAGTAATTTGCCGTATCAAAAGAACGCTAATATTCCAGGTCTTAAAAAAGATGAGATTACAATTTGTGTCTTTCCATGCTTTGGAGTCAAAATCCGAATCATTATCGCCCAAGTTTCATTGCTTTCCGAGTTTTCCGTCACGTATCCCGGAATAAAGTTTTTGTCATAATTATCTGACTGAACACTCATTTCTGATTTTGATTTATCGCTTTCTTTGCAAGACATAATTTTCTCGAATATTATAATTGAACAGCGCGAAAGAACGTATATGTTTAATATAAGCTAAATATGCCAGAATGCTGACTATATTGGATGAAGTCAAAATACCTTCTAGTGCCAGTTTCTTTTGTATTATAGAAAACGATGGCGTTGGGAAAAAATGCACAACTTCAAGATGCCATAAAAGCTTGTTTATTTGACCAAATTTTTGAAGTTTTTTCCTTAAAAAGCCTTAAAATCATAGACAGATTTCATATTGCTAAAAAAATTTTGGTGGCAACAATGAAAAAGTATCTGAGTGAGTCAGTGTCTGTCTGTCTGTCCGTCGTGATATCTTCGACTGTGTCCTCGTTCATAGTCGCAAATTCGAGCGATAACGAATAGTAATGACGACGATTAGTAATGACGACGATTTGGGTTTAACAGATCGTCAAAAATGACGAAGAATTTAAATATATTATGTTCCTATAGAAAATAACTACATCAGCAATGATATATGTGCCATGTGCTATGCCTCCTCATTTTAACAATAAACACAAAAATTTAAATTGGAACAGAGTCATCGGCAACATAGTCCTATCGAAAAGCAAATATTCGTACAACAAAACAAACCGATTTAATATATCTTTTCACCACACCTTTGTTAGACAAATAAGATATAATATTCATGATAGTTACTGGGCATTTTTATTAAGCATTGAGCACAGAGAAATTTTGTACCAAAGAGAAGTGCCAAAGGAAGGAATGATTTCATTTTGTGGCATTTTGACATGAAAATATTTTTTGTTATTTTTCATATGTTTTTTACTACGTAATGATCTTGGGACTTGACTTTGGGAATGGCCTTGGGACTTGACTTAATTTAATGAAAAATACAACACTAAGCAGTTGGACTACTGACTACTGTTTGTTCCATGTACTGTAACTATGGTCAAGGCTACCCACATGTACACCCTCCTACCTATTTTTATGTACCTTGTACATCTGGGGACGGTTGCACGAAGCCTGGATAGCAATATTTGTCGGATAGTAAAATTTTCAAACTTGTAGAAAAAGGTGTTTATATTTTCCTTAGGTGAAAGAAAGTTTGTAATCTTAGAAGAAATATTTTATTTCAATGATTACTCAGTTCAAATTACATCTTATTCCTATTTAAAAGATTTTGTAAAAGTTCAAAACAATTTGCCATCAAATGGATAAAACTGTTCTGCCTTATTGTAAGCGGTTGCAGGTTTTCCTTTATAATCACAATGAATTTGTACCATGGAAATCTTACCTACTTTTTTCTGCAGGGAGCAACATGGGGTCAGTTTTAAGCAGAAACAAGAAAAATAATGGTTTTAAGTTGATGAGATTAATTGTTGATGTTGGTGGAGAAGCTTTAAGAATAACATTGAGGAAACAACTGTCAGGTACTGATTTATTTTATGTTTTAAATGACAGAATAAATTATCGTACGCTTTTGTCGCTAAAAGATAAGCAAATAAAGCAACATCAATGGGATCTACTTTATCCTCCTCCTCCAATATTACCAAATGAAAATAAGTTTGACGTTACTTTACTTTGTATTCTCCTGCGTAATATTTGTGGTTTAAAACCACCGCGTGATCCAATATGGGAAAACATGCCTAATGTCACTGATCATTCAACTGAAGCAGATATTACCCGTATCAGGTTATTTCGTAATAATCGATTTGCTCACTTACCTAACACTTCAGTAAGCTTTGATGATTTTGAAAATTCATGGGTAGAAATAAGCAAACCATTAGCTCGTTTAGGAATAAGTCAGGAAGAAATAGATAGATTGAAAAATGATTTGTTTGGTAATGAAGAATGCCAAAGAGTTTTGAGAGAATGGGATAGATTAAAGAGCGATTTAACTGATATTAAAACTGAACAGAGAGGTATTAAGCAAGCAGTGGAGGGTGTAGAGAAAGATTTACAACAGGTAAAAGATAGTGTCACAGTAATTAAAGACGAAGTACATGAAATACGACATCACACTCACTTAGGTTCAGAAGAATATATTTTGACAAAAAATCTGATTAGCTGTAACTTTGAAAGTGAAATTAGGTATTATTATGAAAAATATTTGCATGGAACACGGGAATGGGTTTTTAAAAAGTTTTTAGATTGGTTTGAAGACGACAATTCTCAAAATCGTGCATTTATTATTTCTGCTGTTGCTGGTATGGGTAAGTCTGTAATTGCAGCTACTTTATGTAAACGTTATCCACAATATTTGACTGCAGTTCATTTCTTTCAACACAAAAACAATCGTTACAATAAAGCCAATGTACTTCTTCAATCTTTAGCGATGCAAGTTAGTCATAATTGTCCTGCTTACAAACAGCTTCTTGTGAAAAAACTTTCGTGTAAACTCTCTGAGCCTTTGAATGACATGAATGTGGAAGGATTATTTTCCCTTCTTTTCACCGAGCTGTTTAATAATATCTCAGAAGTTCCCAAGCGAATGTTAATTGTGCTGGATGCTCTTGATGAATGTAGTTATCCAGAAAGAGATGAACTTGCTAATTTGATTGCTAATCACTTGCACAAACTTCCGCATTGTTTTCGCTTTGTAATTACCACGAGACCTAACGAAGATGCTTTAAATAAGTTTGAAAAATTAAATCCACTTTTCATTAATAGTAGCGATGATCGCAATTTAGAGGATATTAAACTTTTGATTGAAAAAAGAATTGGCTCTACTGATTGCCTTCCTGATGTTAAAAACAGTTTGGCAGAAAAAGCTAACGGACTTATGTTGCTTGCATCACTTCTTAGCAGCGAAGTTAAAAATCAGGATTTGTTGAATGCGTCCTTACCAAAAGATCTCAGTGAATATTACAAAATTTGCTTAACAAGATTAAGTAAAGAATTAAATTCGTTTGATATCAGTAACGAAAAGTTTCAGTCAATTTTAAATGCTCTGGCTGTTGCTAAAGAACCTCTTCCTTGGAAAATGATCAATGACTTTCTTTCTTTGAACTCGAGTCCCAAATCACCGGGGGTTAGAAAAATTATCTCTTGTCTGCTTGTTAGCAATGAAGAAGGATGTGTTTCGTTTTTTCACAAATCCTTAAATGATTGGTTGTTGGATGATCGAAAACATGATTACTCAGTAAAAACTTCTTGGGGTCATCGACTTGTTTTAAACTTTTGTTTAAAATCTTTGGATAACCTCAAAGCTGTAGGTGCAAACTATGACGTCATTAAACATGCGTCAGTGAGGTATTCAGTCAAGTATTGGTTGCTTCATTTACTTGATATTTCTGATAATGTTTATATCTTTGAAAATGTTGGTAAATATCTTGTTGATTTGGAAGTTTTAGTTGCTTCTGTGTTGGTTGATCGTTCTCGTACTTTTGAAAATTTTAAATTATTCAACGCACATGATGTGTACTTTCTTATTTCTGAGGACATTCGATTGTTATTTAATGAAGTTTATTCTGTGATAACGTTCTCTAAATTCTTTGAAAATGAAGTATCTTTTTTGCAATGCGTTGCCAACGACGTCAAAGATCTAACGTCTCAAGCAACCACAATGCTTCAAACACGTTTCAAAGATTCACCATATCTAGAGCTCAGAGACACGGGTTTTGTAAAAGCTCGATTATTGCGTTTATTTGAAAATTTAAAGTCTGTTGATGTTTCACGAAATTATGATTACGTCGTGTGTGGTTATGAAGGTTTCGTCGTGCAACTTTTTTCATTGAGAAAAAACAGATGTTTGTGGATAAAAGATATTGCTGGTCAGTTTAAGCAATATGAAGAGAATGCCTTTCGCGTTGTTTTTCATCCATTCAAAGATTTCATTTTTGCTTCCCAGCTTGATAAGATACTAGATATTAATGGTAAAATTTCCTCAAGTCCGTTCCATTGTGATGATTCTACTTCTAAGTTCTTTACCAAGAAACGTTTTTCTAAGGATAAATACACAATGGTCACTAGTTACAAAGATACTTTGACAGTATGGGACGTTAAGAAAGGTGAAAAGAAACGCAGTATTAGATTTAATAATGTGATCTCAATGTGTTTTTCTCATTCTGGAAGATATTTGTGTGTTGCTGAGAAAGAAGGAGTGGTTCAAATATTGAATGTAGCAAATAATTATGAAACATTCGTTTACGACGATCATTTACCGTCTGATAAATTATATGAGGATGAAGTTTTGTTCCCTGTTGGTCTTCATTCTTGGTTTTATTGTGGGGAAAAAAAATTTATGGTAAATCCCACTTGTGAGAAACTTCCTGACTTAGATCCTGATTACAATTGTTTATTTTATCCTCTTGATCTATTCAATTGCGACAAATTAAGATTTTCCAAACTTTATGAAGGAATATCTGGTATTTTGTTGAACAAAGGCAATGTTCTTCATACTTATTGTACAACTGACACACATCTTTATATAATACCGCGTGCATGTTTAACTAACAGTAACTGTTTTCATAAAGGAAAATTTTGCTCAAATGGAAAATTTATGTATCGGTGCAATGAAGAAAATTCAAGGGTAATTATATACAATCTCAACACATTTGACTTTGTTGTCAAGGAATGTTTTTTTAGTGACATGGTTGCTGTAGAAAATGGAGTTATTTTGCTCACGGAAAAAAATATTCCTGAGCTTTGGAATAATGATTTGACAAAACTTGTTTATAGTTTCGATGAACTAAAAGGTACAAACAAAATTTTTGAGGTGAGTGATGTATCATTTGCTTGTCAAAAAACTGATTCTTTTGTGTTTTTCAATGTTGAAAACAAGCGAAAAGAAATATCAGTGAATTTTGAAAATTATCGAAATGTGCATGTATTTGCATGTAGCTCTAAGTATCACGTGTTTGCTAAAGCTGAAATTAACCATCGGATAATTTACTGTATGTGGCATGAAGACAAACTTATTAATGGTTGGGATGACGTAATTGAGTGTAATTGTATAGCTTACGCTGCTTTTTCACCTTCAGCAGATAATTTATTAATTCGTGACGATGGTTTTCTGAAACGAAGTGTGAAAGTGTTTGACGTTAAAAACAAAGAATTTATTTATAATTTTACTTGGTGGTTTTTTGGGGATAACTTCTTCTTTCTTGATGATAGGTATATAATTAATGATGGCTTGGTTTTGATTGATTTGAAATATTTTAAGGATGCACAAATACCTTTCGGGCGTTTGCTTTTTCTAAATTTATATTACTGTCGTAAACGCAAACTTGCTTTCATTTTTTCATTCTCAAAGGTCCCAAACAATTGCGTAAAAATCATCTTTCCACGAGTATAAATTTGATCTTTGATGATAAAACTTCTCACAATTTTGGATGATGACTATATTATCTTTAAGATAATCTTGTTCAGTTTTTGTGCATGATCCCTATCATTGTTGACATTTCAATTAATGTCTGTTTGCGTATGATTTCATGAAACGACCTTTGTCTAATTTTGATTGTTCTGTACAGAGACCGCAGTGTACGATGATGTCAACATTTAGAGAGATCATGCATAAAAGCTAAAGTTAATTAAAGATGAGAATTCAATGTCAATACAGACAAACCATAAACAAATGATTTTGTGCCTAAAAAAAGATTTTGTTTCCTTGCACAAGGAAATGATTTTATTGACTTTTATCTTATCACACAAACATATAAAATGCAAACTATTGTTGGTTATTGTACCATAGGTTATGTTTTGTTTATATCTACACCATGTAAACATATAATTTTTATGCAAATGTATTCAGTGTAGGATGGTTTTAATATTGCACGTTTTTCGATACTCTTTTACACCAAAAACAAGTTGTTACTAATTGAATCAATAGTATCTTGCACTGAAATAATTTCTTAGTACTTTTTAATTATTGCATTTTAATATACAAAATATCTATGTGTTAAGTTGTTAAGAGAGACAAAGACAGCCCAATTGTTACTTCCGTTAAATGAACATTTTCATCTTTACCAATTTGAAAAACGTAAATTTATAATTAAAAAATGGAACCTTTGCTAATTTTTTTAAGAAAAGCTAAAATTTGGCTGTCTTTGTCACTGACTGTTAAAAAGTAAATTGTACACTCCTCTAGAAATGACTTATTATTGACGTTCATCATCGTGATAAACAATTTAACCATTGAGGTGGAACACTCCAAAGCATGTGTTACTGTACGAACAGGAGAAGTTAACAAAAGCGAAGGAACGTTTTGCAATATAGAGAAGCAGAAAACAAACGACAATGTTTCATATTGAAGGATGTTTAATGCCAAGTTTTTAACTTTTAATGAAAAGTCGATTTCAGGCATTGTTACACTTTACTTTTTGAATCGATACTTTATGGGAATTATTTGTTAACAACGTCAACTCAAACATCAGTAGACATACTGCAAGTTACTTTGCCAAAGTTTGATATGTTTATGGCTTTTCTATATAATTCCATCGTGTACTCTTAATTCAAACGATAATACAAGAAGGAGAACCATGATTCTATGTGGATGTATTGTTGTACTTTGTAACCACACCCTTGTCACGTGTTCATTGAAATGTTATCTTTTGTCAAAATTGGAAGATGTGAACTTTTACATTTTTAAAATGGTGAAGCTTGCTGTTTATTTTGTTCAATTTTTACAAAACTGAAGCTTGAAAATTATCATCTTATGTGGACGTTTTGATGTGAACATAACTCATAAGTAATCATGAGAGTAAATAAAAAGAATTTGATTTTCTTACATTGTGGCTATTGGAAATGGCTAAAGGGATTTTTTTGCTGCATCTATAATTGAAGCTGCTTCTTGATACAAGCACACTGTCATTGTGAATATTATAACTCTTGATTGACTATGCGCATGCTCTGAAATATATACGTACTTGAATGATTCTACAACATTTGTGATATGAATTAAGATCTTAACAGCAAGATGTCATGAAAATTAAAAACAAATATCAACTATGGATGGTTGTAGAATGAAAGTGATCAGTTTAGTTCATATGAACGGTCACAAATCATTCACAACAAAAATAAATTCAACATGTAAGAACTACATCAAGTTATGAGAATGAAAAGTATGGAAAAATTTCAACGTCTTTCTTTTTCTAGATTTAATGTTTCTAAATCCACGATGTTTTATTCTTTATGTAGTGAACAATTTTAAATCATTAAATTTATTTCATTTTGTTATGTACATATCTCTGTATAATGAATAGATATCTTTCATAACATCCCATAAACGGACATCTACCCTACATTAGGTCATGGTCTCTATGATGTCCGTTTACGAGTAGCTTGACTGTATACAGACTTTTCATTACTGCACATTTTCTTTACGTTTCTAGATTTTTCTTTTGCTTTTTAAATTTTAAATGCCAAATAAATGAATCCAACATAACTCAACACCATTTTTAGAGTAATAGTCATTTGCAAACTGCCATGTGAAGATTGCTATTGCTTTAGAAAAGGAAGTGTCGTATCTTGAATTCAAAAATACCAATTTTTAAAATTAGCATTCATTAGTTGTATAATAACATTCACTCACATTCAGCAACATTGTTTGTAACTGCATCTTGTAAAGAAAGTTGAAAAGTAACCACATTTTATCAAAACAGAACAATTGCCGTTGCCATTTTTAAGACTGCCTGGGATTCATTCATTTAGCACTTATAAAAAATTATTTAGAGAGAAACTTTCTTTTTTGCGCAGCGTTTTGTTGAACTTTGTTTTTTAACGCATATTAATATAATTTTATTATATTTGTATGTTAGTGAAGAAATAATCGTTGTATAAATATGTTTTCTACAAAATTTTTACAATATATGTGTGTCAATCTATATATCATGTCTTAAATAATTTTCACATTTGTCCACAACGCCAAGCCTTTATTGAGACTCTCGGGAAATTAGGCTCACTATTTCTCCAGGGAAAGTACATTAAGTGTTTTGTTATATAGTGAAAAAATCATAAATTTCGACAACTCGTCAATTAAATCTGTGTCTTTCGGGTGGGAATTGGCCGGCAAAAGGTTTGTTGCAAAATGCTATGATTGACCACAGCATTTTAGGTTGACTTCCGAGGGTTTTCTTAATTCTTTTTTTATTAATAGTTGATTTTCGTCACTAAACAAGATTGAGAAACGTTCTTCAGTTTTCGGCTTGGCAGCTCTTTTATTCGTATGATATTAAAATAAGCGGGCAATACTTTTTCACTTGTTTTACTGGCAGGAAAACGTGCATTTATTTCATGTCATGTGACTACTAATGAACCAATCGCAATTACTATACACAGCACCTATATAAAAATAGAACTAATTGTATAAACATAATTCGAAAGTTGATTTGCCGATTTGAATGCTTTGCAGGATTCTAAATCTAAATCAAACGACTTTCATGCACATCATCAGTCTCCTAGAATTTTGTTCAGAAAAATGCCTTAGGGGGACATGGTGATCAGGAATTAAATTTTCAGAATAAACTTAATTTTATAATACTATTTTTTGATACATCCTGCATTTGTTCCTTTTTTGGAACACCCCGTATGACGTATATATGTACGTAAAGAATGGTTCACAAGGTGAGATAATTACCTACAATTACATCTTTTACAGGTAGAATCTTATGAATTTTCTTACATTAAAGTTGTAGCAAACAGATACTTTAATACTAATGACTTAATAGTTTAATATGCAATTATGATTAATAAGAATCGGACATGTTGACAGGAGCTATAATTAGGGATAAAAGTTGTGAGAAAACGACAAAAGAATGTACGTAGAAGTTAAAAGTGTTTGATGTTTTTTAGGCCTAGTTCAAACGTCAAACTTTAGATGAACCGAACGCATTTAAAGCAAAGATAATAAGGAAACTCATCTCATTTTCTTTTATCTTTAATGCGTTCGGTGCATGTAAAGTTCGACGTTTAAAACGGGTCTTAGATTGAAATTAAAAGATATCACAAAACCATTTCAATCTTGAAGAAGAAGTAACATTTATATTTTTTGATAAACATTATGAACACCATGTGTTTTTTATTGTTGTGTCTAGAATTAATTATAATCTTATTGTTAGTCATGATTTCAGGACATTCGTAACGGTTTGAGGAAACGGCACATACGCCATGTTGTTCGTCATGGTCAGATTACTTCCAATAAATGAAGTGAACACAAACCCTTAAACGGGTTTTCTACTATAGCACCATACACTAGTTTCTATCTGATTTTCTCATCGTTAAATGTTTGGGTGTAAAGGAGAAGCGTCTTCCTTTCAAATTTTGCTTCATTTCATTATGGGTTAGCCGTTAGTAGTTAGCATTTGGTATACAGACATAAGATTGAGTTTATATGAAATGTAACAAATTAGATGTTTCTTAAATTTGCCATGAGATTTTTTCCAAATATCGACAACCTCTTTCCCATTTGCCCCGTATGTTTAAAGCTCAGTTAGTATTTCTCGTGTCATGGGCGTGTATGCTACTGGACGTAAGTAAGGAACCAAGGCTGTTATACAGCGCGAAACGCGCAGTGTGGTATATCGATTACAGCCGAGGCTCTGAAAAAGTCGTTAATTAACATATTATACGATGGAAAATGTTTTCCCGAAAGAATCATTTGATTACAGATGTGCAAAAAATAGATTGTATATCGATTGTAATTATAATATAAACACAATACGTGGAAGCATGAACAATAGAGAAGTGTACATTAGTGTTTGAGTCAAAAGAGTGATGAATCCCAGAGATGTTTGGTTTTCTACTTTATTTAAAATTCATATATTTACGTGCTGTTTCCATGATAGCTTTGCTTCCATACACTTGTGTTTTATTTGAGCTGTGTCTTTGCTTGTTATGGATGTCTGAGACAGTGGCCAGTTTTGAATTTTTTGGAGGTGCAAATTTTAAACATTTCTAGACACGATTGACTCTGAAATGAAGCGCTAACAACACAAGATATGGATTCAAACGTGAAGCAAGTTAAATCATTCATCGTAAATGTGGAAGTTAAAGATTAAAGTTCCTTGAGGATCATTAACTATGGCGTTGTGAAATACAATGTTGTTTCTATTGGGCCAGAACTTTGCTTTTTGAAGTTGTCAAGTGAAATGTACAGAATTATGAAATTAAGTCAGTTGACATTAGATCCGACACTTAACGAGTAGCCTAAAGGCCGATCTCCACTTCGACCTTATCGTAGCGTAACGAAGTAAAACGTGACGACGAGCATGCGCCGTGTGACTATCACTTAGGACGATTGATATCGAACGTGTCTAAAGCATTGAGTTCTATAATAACTGGAGCGGCTATCTCAAGCGCGGCCTTAGATATCTGATGACGCCAAAAAAATGGCGGATTTCGTCCGCTTCCCCTGAGATTTACCGAAATCGACAGCTTTTCCGAAAATTTCATAATTTCCCACTCCCTCCTGAGGAAAGAGTGAAGAAAATGTATGTGTGTATTTGGGATTCGGCAAGCAATTTTTTTGATGAAAATCACGATAAAAACCTACAATTCGTAACAGCGAGTCAACCTAGCTTTCCAGTGATCGGCTCCTACGAGGATGTATTTATAACTATCGACGAAAGAGCTATATGTCGGCTACACATCTATGAATGCAGATATGCGTCGTTTTCTTACCAGCGTCAAACTTGTTTGATCGATTAAACTCTTTAGTCTACACAAAAAAGTATATCATAGCTCATCTCCACAGTGGTTTACGGGAGAGAATTTAGCTTATTTGTTATCATTGCTATTTTGCTTCTTTTCGTGGAAAGGCAATGGCTTTTTTCGCCACAATTGTAGGATTTTTATATGTTTCTTTAAAAAAGTAAATATTAAATCTCTGGATATTTACGGATTTTCTGTAATTGAGTTTCATATTAAATTTCAAAAAGACTCAAGTCTGCATAGGTTTGGTAATATTGTATAGAAATTACTTTAAGTAACCTTTTTGTGATGTTCTGAAGTGCAACTGCATCAAATACTTGTAAAGTTGTAGCACATTTTGATTTTGTTGTATTGATAAATAAATTGGGCAAATGCAAATAATCATCAAAACACTTATGCTTCCAATGGTGTTTATAATTTATTTTTAGTTTTAATACTTCTACCCTTCTTTTTCACTTTGTTTTGTTTTTCCTATATTTTCAATATAATGCACAATTTGAATGATTAACACAGTTTTCACTTCAATAATAAATTTCATAAGCAGTTAGTAGTGCATTTTGTTTTCTGAGTATCCACATTTGGTGTTTTCTTCATACATGAATGATGAAATGCATATGGATATGTCATTGCAAGGCAATAAAAGGCAAGGCTTAAAAGCTTTCTAGAAATTATAAAGTTATTGGATTATATTATCTCTATATCATCAATCTCATGAAAAGAAATAAGAAGCAAATTTTTTGTAGAAAAGCTTTGAAAAGTGAAAAACATTTATTTAAAAAAGCAGCAATGATGCATATGATAAATCTCCATTCTGTACTCTAATAGGTAAATAAGCTCAAACTGTTTCTTAAAGAAATATAAGAAATAGATAAGAAATATACAGTACAGTAATTTTAAAGGTTTCATCACTGAATCTTTAATGCTTCAGTATAGTGCATTAGATATTAGTAACATTTAAACAACACTCAACTAGAATATTTTGATAAAGATATGACATGATTTAAACATTAAGTTATATAAAACCCAATGGCTTATACAGTTTGATGCTTCACATCTGCATCGAGTCATCATCAATCTCAGTACAAATGTTTACATAGACACAAACTTTATGGCTTTTACATTTTATATGTTGTGAATTGACATTTAATTAAGCATCAAAACACACACAACCTTCTTGCCATCTTTTTTTGGTTCATGAACTTTAACTTCAAAGCATTAGGGGCATCATTAGTGAATCCATTGTCTCCATCAGGGGCGGATCTAGAGTATGTCAAATCCGTCGCGCGACTGATGTTTGAAATTCAAAAATTACCTATTCATATTAATTAAAAATTCATTAATTATTCTTACTTCATTATCGCATTTACTTCGTGATAAAAATCCAGCTTTATTTATTATTGAAAACTAATGACTAATGCAACGAATATCTCGTTGGTAACCAGATCAGTTGAATTTTAATTGACCTGGAATAACCGACTGATAAGCGGGGTGGCTTGACTGGTTCGACTTATAAAGGAGTCTATGAACGCCAGAAACGCTATTTTATTGGTCAATGGCCAGATCAGTGGACAGTCTGGAATAATCTCGACCGATAATAAGGGTGGCCGGACCTATAAGGGAGTCCAATTGCTATCTTACAATTGGCTCATTTGAATTTTTGTCTTACTGTGATTGGTTTGACCGAATTCGACTGATAGCCAACTGAACTAACATAGTCAAGCTCACTGTCTGAATTGAATGTTTGATCGTTTCATAGTAATTTTTATAAGCATGATAGAAACTAAACTACAATCAGATGGAATTTATGGAAATCTTTCACAAATTCATATGACATTGCTGCTTTTGGGCAAGACGATCTCGCGAGCGACATTTCAGTCATTGATGTTCAAAAGCAAGCCAACATTGTTTTGAGTTTTATCAGCAGAAATTTACATCGAAAATCGTAAGTAAAGGACAAGTGAAGTGTATGCATGAATGCAATATATCAAAGTCAATTTATGCGAGTGTGTGATGCGATTTATGTTAATATGGCGTATGGTAAGCAGATTGATGCTTCTAAAATTGTTGTTGCCGAAGGACTTTTAGCTATGATTTCTTTAATGCTTGGGGAATCGTGGCCGTTATATGGCAGCGAAATCCTACATTTCTACAAATATATTTCAATGGACAAAAAATCTG